ATAAGCTTCCTTCTGTAAGATCACCTGAAGTCACCTTGTGGCCAGCTATCACTAAGGGGCTCTGTCTAGCTAAACAGCGCTGCTTCCTTATCACAGCTGGTATTTGTTTCTGGCATCATCATCATTCTAGTAAGTTTAGATGAAATTAGATGAATAATCTCTCCCAAGGCAACTTCTGTCAAACAGTCAAATTATATTGTTTCAGCAAGTTCAACACGAAAGTGCTAACATTTTTCAAAATGCCACTTTCCAAACATTCTTCTGTTCAGTAAAAAATGACTGTGTGAGCTGTGGCTAACAGGACTAGACATCTCATTCTCAGTGAAGGTGAATAATGTATTTTCATAATTTTGTTCATAGCATAAGCTTCAAGATTTGAAGTGTACATTATCTAGTCATGAGGTTATTTATCCTACTGTAAATACTCCAATTAATTAATAATGAAATTTTACACACTGAGTTTCCCTAAGGAAGAACAAGGCACATTGCTGATAAGTCTCCAGGAGGCTGTACACAAGCAAGTACACGTATCAGCGCAGCATGTCTTTGGGGAGAATGTACTGACCTAGGTTTTCTTTTGCAGAGAAGGCAACAACAATATCAAGATGAGTGGACCCCAGAAACATTGCAATAGCAGGTTTTAATGAGGTGGCAGTGGCATTTATAACACATAGGTTGAACAAAATAAAGAGCTTTGGATTTAGTATGTCAACAGTTTCAATCATGCATGTACAGCCATGCATTGCTTAACAGGGGATGCATTCTGAGAAACTTGTCATTTGATCATTTTGTCATGTAAACGTCAGCATGTACTCAAACAAAGGTAAGACAGCCAAGACGGTGCTAGGTGATAATAAACTTATGGGACCACTGTCATGTTTTTGATGGAAACATCCTCTTGTTGTACATGATTGTATTTCAAACACTCTCAACATAGATTATTCTGATATATAAAAATCCATGACAGAAATACTTGCTAGAAAAGAAGAAAAAGACTAGATATTTCCTGATTAAAATAAGAATGGTCAGTAAAATAAGAAACATGAATTTGCCATTACTGACTTTAAATGCCAATCCAAAGGTCTAGGTTTGCCTATAATTAGATTTGTAGTAAGTTCCCTTTCATGAAACCACTTTTACTTATAAGGAATTAGGTCAGATTTTACAAAGGCAGTAATAGTATATGTGACAGATTTATTCAAATTCTCCACTGTTCCATTAAAATGTGCCCTTTTGCCTTCCTAAAGCTAGTGCTGAATAATAAAGAGTGGCTATGGTTGCTGACTACCATGCAGAAGTCTACTGAGGCTCACACTGACCTACCTTCCTTCCTTCTTTCCTTCTCTCTTTCTTTTCCTTCCTTCCTTCCAGCCTATGCTAGCTACTGGGATGGGAGCTGGGGACAGAATTTACAAAGCAAAAGTCCATGCTCTAGATATTTACTCTGGTAGAGAGGATAAGTACTATAAGGAAAGAAAGAAAAAGAAAGAAAAAGAAGAAAGAAAGAAAGAAAGGAAGAAAGAAAGGCTATGTATTTCAGAGAAGGAATGGGAAGAAATCTAGTCTTTAACCCCAGTGTATTCATAACTTAAAAATGTATCTTTTGGGATTATCTAAGTGACATTCAAAAGCTGATTTGCAATTGAAACAACAGTAGAATTTATAAATTTCATGACTGTTAAGACGGTCAGTCACATGAAACTCAACCTTTCAATTCTGGCCTTGATTTAATATAGCATTCTGCTTTCCTTTCTGTCCATCATAATTATTCTCAACAACAGACTGGGAAAACAGTCTTGACCAGGGTCAATCACATTAATTTTCTTTTAAGATTTAAAAAGATGCGCAGTTTTCAAATATACTTTCCCTCCAACTATAAAGGTAAAACATGCTCACTATACAAACCTAGACAGGACTGGGGCATTTAGCTCAGTGGCACCGTACCTGCCTGGCAAGCACAAGGTCCTGAGTTCCATTCTTGGTACCAAAAAAAAAAGTTAATACAAATCTAGACAAAAACAGAGGAAGGAAATTAAATTCATTCCTAATGCTTCTATTCAGACATAAACTGCTGATTTTGTAATGTTAAGTAGAAAATACCTAAAACTTAATGAATATACTACCTTATAATTAATCTTTTACACTGAATTCAAGGGAAAGAAATGTGTTCCTCATGCACTCATCACTATGTTCTTGGAAAATCTCACAGATGGGTACTTGACATACAGTAACATTAAAAATCTGAGTGTAATGCCATGGATAAGAAGAGTTGTAAACTAAAACTGTTCTGCTAGCATGTTGTCCAGCTGTTAAATTACAAAATTATACTAGAATAAGATTGAGAAAAATGATTGTCGGGAGCAATGCTACATAACTTTAGGGTAAAATCATTTGGTTAGCCTAGTTCTCTTGCCTACAGCCCAGCTACAGAATAACTCCATTTTGGCCTCCAGTCACAACTGAGACCTCAATGATCCGGTGATGCTGTGATTCTCCAGGACAAGAAGCATCCTGGGAGCTGAAAACATCCTGGGAGAACAAACATCTACTCAATTCCTCATTGTTCTTGGACTGTTACATCTTGTTTACCCAGGATGTACTGAACTCTTTGCAAGTCATTTGTTACATTTGTTTCTCCTGATGTACTGAATAAAAGGTGCAGTAAGGTATGGGCTTTCCTCTTTGCTGCCCAGAGCAGCACTGATCAGACCCAAAGCTCAGCTTCTTCTCAGTCTCATTTTTCTACCTTTCCTGTAATTTGCCTTGTGTTGCCGTGGCTCGCAGGAGACCAGGACTCACTGCAGAGGTTCTGGTAACGTCCCCTTCCCCTGTTCCTTACAAATGATAGCCTGGAATACTTGACAAAATTGTTCAAAACTCTAATGTAGGCACACTGGCAAATAAACAGTGCACAGTGTTTTCACATATTTTTAGTCACTGACCATGACTGGATGACTGGGCTTTGCAGGCAAAGCGATGCACACAGTGAAGAGAGGGCTGCCAGCACGATGGGACAAGCACAGGTTTCCAAAGCCTCTTTATGTCTTAGCAATTTTTCATGGTGTCCCCCAAGGCCAAAAGAAATAGCTACCAATTCTGTTAATTATATAGTTAGGTCCAAACAATTTAATAAATATATATGCCCTAACAATTTAGTAGCCATTTACAAAGTAATAAGCATAAACCGAAAGAAATAGTTTTATTTCACTCTTAGATGACTGCAATTACTTACTAATGGAATATGTGCATCTGATGGGCACTGTACAATGTCTCAATTTGGAGTTGATTGAACGCCATCACCCTCATTTACTGTTCCACACTGATTTTTGTGCAGTATTTGCTTTTATTACAGCAAATGCTGAAAATTAACTTTGCAAAGATCAAAAAGAATGCTGCACAGTCTCCAGCTGACACTGGACCGTCCTTGAATGGGAGGCTCAGTGGCATCTATCAGATGTCGAGCCCATCTGACAGGTGGAGAGTTTGCCGAGGTTCTCCAGGGAGGCTGACCCACTGTGGGTCTGGGTCAACCTTATCTCTAGGTCTACTGTCTCTTTAAAAGTGGCAAGAAGGACCTCCCAAATAAATGGCTGACTTTAAAGATTTGACACCTCTGACGTGTAAAGTGCCAGTTCTTTTATCATGAGTACAGAGATCCCATGGGGGGTATGCAGTATTCCTTAGTTATGTGGAGACAAAAGGAACCCTCTTTCTTGTGGTTACTCATGAAATGTATATTCCTCTGGGCCATAGGCACCTACAGAGCTACTTTCAGACTCTTATTTACCCTACTCATACAGAATGCTTGTTACAACAATACTGCAATCTGCTTTTATAAAAAATAAGCCTATCTGTTTCGACCCCTGCTGCACAAGCGCAAGGACCCGAGTTTGATCCCCGGTACCAAAAAAAAAAAAGCCTATAATTAAGCATATAATCCAAAAGGTGATTGAATAACATGTACCTTAAGCAATATAGTTAGAAGAAAGGAAAAAGCAGTAACAGTCTCCTTGGTTTATAGAATAATCTAGCATAGTAACTTAAAAAATATCTTGCACAGGAAGTATAATGCTTCCATTCCCTGAAGATGTTCATGTCTTAATCTCTGGAGTTTGTGAACATTAAGGCTGAGATGGAATTAGGGTTGGTAATCAGCTGAGTTTAAAACTGAGAGATTATCCTGGATTATCTGGGTGGGCCCAATGTGAAGACAAGGATCCACAAAAGTGCAATAGGGAGGTGGAAGAGAAGAGTACAGAGAGATGTGACTGCGGGAGGAGGTGCCAGCGCCGGGACCTGAGAGGACGTGGCCCGCAGAGGCCAAGGAACAGGGTGGGCTCTAGAAACTGGAAGAGGCAAGGAAGTAGATTCTTCCGAGTCTTCCACACTTTGATTTTAGCCCAGTGAGGCCCGTGGTGGGTCTCCTTGTAGCCTACTGAACTAGAAGATAATAAAATTGTGTTGCTTTAAGCCACTAAATTTATGCAACTTATAGCAGAAACAGAACAGTTCAGACCCTGAATATTAACAATAAAACAACAGCAACTACAAATGTTTTGGATTAGATGAGTTAAGTAAGCTGACTATCATATACTTTCAATAAGTATTTCCACTTTCTATAATGAATAAAACTAAATATAAAATAAACTTACAGGTGTTGATTCAAAGAATTTTACTGAAGAATGCTTTAAATGTCATAGCTTTTTGCCTTTTCTTCACTGTTTAATGATTGATATAAATTTTAAATGAGTGTTTTTCCATGCTATATGAGTTTAAGCCAAAGACTTGACTTCTTTTCCAAATGTAAAATGCCAATTAAAATATTTTTACTTATTTCTTGGGCTCTTTTTACATGAAATTATTGGACAAGGTAAACATTTTTATAAATTTAACAATTACTTACAGAAAGCAAGAAGACATTCTAGTGTCAGAATATGTTTACCTGTACTTCTGTGAACTAAAAATATTCTACTCAAAGTTCAAAAGTGGCTTGTTCTCACCTGTGGTCAAAGGCAGGTGTGTGATGCTGTTCAGACAGGTCAGGGTGAACCATGTGGATGACAGCGTAGCCCCAGAGAACAGGAGGAGGAGGATCAGCTTCAGCATACCCCGGATAAAATCTGCAAACCTGAAAAGAAACAATGCTCTATTAATTCCAGTTGGATTTTTAAAGTGTTGTTTAAATTAAGGACACAACTTCCATTAAACAACTGCTAACTGAAGAATTTTCCATGCATTGTTTTAATAGCTAGTTATAATTTTTGATGTTTAGGCTCTTTCACTGACACATTTTCTTGTGTGTATGATGTTACTTTTTTTCTCTTATAAAACCACAAAATGTCATCTGTTTGGGATCTGTAACTCGTTGGATAGATTCTTAGTTTTTAAATGCCACTTTTATTTCCTTTATATTTTTCTGTACTTTCTAAACATTCTATAACAAACATACATCCAAGAATTAGACAACAGGCTGATTATTGACACAAACTTGCAAAGATGACTCTCCCAGAATTCAAACTCTGAGGACACAGGTGCCTACCCCACAGCCTCTGTGGCCCTGTGTGACCCGGTCCTGCCTCTGCTCCTCTTCTCCTCGCTGATGGCAGGTTCTGTTTTCACAGGTATTAGGCCTGCTTTCCACGGCACTGAGTGGCCTTTCACTTGCCCCATCTGGCTGGAATGCTGGTACCCTAAGACCTCACGTGGCCCACTCCTGTGTATGTCTCAGCTCACTCAGCTCTCTACATTCTATTTTACTTCTACAGCGCACTGTTCTGGATTGGAAAATGTCATATTTCTGCATTTGTTTATTCTTTGTCTTCCCTACAAGACTGTAAGCTTCCTAAGCACAAGAACATGGCAACTACAATATTAAGTATCATTCTATAAATCTAGGGACTTTTACAGCATTCTAAGGTCTCAAAATCACTAACATTTTCTGAATCAACATGACACTAAAAGGCATGCCAAATATTTTTCTATTTTCTGATTGCTTTTCCACACATGCAGGTTGTTGACTGTATAAAGCACAGTCCTCTGACTATACCTATACATAATTTATTCTGTCCTTTAGAATTGCTATTATAGAAAAATCAATCCCATTCCCAATATAACATTTACCATGTTCTCTCCATTTAGAATTTTAAAAAATTGATTGTAATTTCTATTGTAGTTATGTGGCTGTTATTCGAACACTTTCAGTACTATCCTTTGTGTTGTACTTATTTGACATGATATGGTTAATCATGTTAGCGTCTTGTAGTCTCAAATGACTTCCTATGTGAGCTGATGCCCTCTTTTGGTAGGAAAAATAGATGTACTTTTTTGCTCAATGACACTTGTTCTCGTCTAAAAGTTTATAAGCAGAAAATTCTAGGTACTCCGGAAAAGGTTCCCCAGCTTGATAGAAATGTCCCTCCAGACAATGCAGAACACTTTGTCATAATTCCAAGTTTAGGAAGCACATTTCTGGTTTACACTTAGGTATGCTACATAAACGTTTTCATCAGATAGGCGGGGGAAAAGGTATGACAGACTACAACAGCTTTCTGGTACAACTCAGAGTTGAACTATAAGAAAACTTCTCAGAACCTGATCAATAAACTGACCACTGTGATCTGCTATTTTGTTTGTTTGTTTCAGACAGGGTCTCACTATGGAGATCAGGCTGGCCTTAAACTCACTAGGTAGCTCAGGCTGGCTTCAAACTCATGGCAATCCTATCTCAGTCTCCTGCGTGCGTGCTGGGATTACAGATATGCACCACCACACTTGGCCCTCATTTGTTTGTTTTTCTTTTCTTTTCTTTTTGTTTTGTTTTTTTTACACAGGATCTCCCTATGTAGTTCAGGCTGTCCTTGAACTCACTATGCTGCCCAGGCTGGCCTCAAACTTGAGGGAATCCTCTTGCTTCAGCCTCTTGAGTGCAGAGATTACGGGAGTGGGCCACCACACCTGGCCCTTGTTTGTTTCTTTGTTTTTTGAGACAGTGGCTCACTACATACTTCAGGCTGGTCTTGAACTTGCAGTAGTCTTTCTGCCTTAGCCTGCTGAGTGCTGGGATCACAGACATGGACTATACCACCTGGCTATGCTATTTTGGAGCATCCTTTCAAATGTGCTGATTCCATCAGAGTATTGTTAGGACCTACAAGGCAGTACCTTGAATACTGGTCTTTAGCAACATAATTACAAAACATTTACCCAAAGTACACATGTCCACGAGAAGAATCCATTCTAGGGAATTCTCAAAAAATGCTGTTATGAAAATAATTTAAAAATTGTTTTTAAGCTAAAGAAATTCTTAACACTAGTTTCTGCTCACAGAGTAAGCAAAGTCCTTTTCAGAATTTCCATTTCAACAATTAAAAGGCAGAACTCTCCTCCTTGTTATTTTCCTATCTAGGTTGTATCTATATATAATTTAAAATTAAGTGGCTGTAGAAAGAAAATGAAGAGAAAAGAGCTGTGAGATGTCATTTCAGATACATAATGGTTCCTTCTTTGACCTATTTGGTGTTTAGAAAAGTACTGATGAGTGATGACTCACTATAATTGGCTTGGATATTTAATTAGAAAAATTAGGTATAATTCTTATCAAAATGTGACAGGTCAGTGTATTTCAATATTTGTGAAATGATTTCCTCCATATAATATTTTCCCACCCTGGTTCTTTAGCTTTTAGATTTTATTCTTATGTTTTCCTAACTTATAGAAACCTCAAAGAAAGTGATTTAGAAGTTAGTGTCAGTTTACTCTTTCATTATCCCAGGAACACTACGGAAACAGTTTATTATCCTGTGTCATTTATGTTTAAGCATTTAGATATTGGGGTGATTTACTTTATCTTATTCGATCTCCCCTAATATGTAATTAGATTCTCCTCTCCTACTAAATAAAGTTGATTGCCTGTTTTTTTTTTTTTTTTTTCATTAAACAGGGTAAAATGACTTGGGGAGTGAATGAGTATTATCTTTTTGAAAACACTAAGAGTAGTTTGATAGGCAGTCACCTAAAAGAGTGACATTTTCATTCTTTTTTAGAATAAATGAAACCCCTTTCCTCTGGCTTATGCTAAAACAGCATTGTCATAATGGGTTTAGATCAAAGGAAGTCTGATGAAACTGGAAACCTTCATGCACATTTTTTATCCAAGTGGGACAACCATAGGGACAGATATGCCAAAAAGGACCAGAGGTAAAAACCTGCTAATCAGGAGACTGCTTCTTCATGGGAACTTCTAGAGATGCTCTCATAAAGGGTTCAACTCCTTTTTTTTCTTTTGGTACCAGGGATCAAACTCGGGACCTTGCTCCTGCGAGGCAGATGCCAGAACCACTGAGGTAAATCCCCAGTCCTCAACTCCTTTTTAAATTTTTGTTAACTACGGATTTGCCTTTATTATATCACTTTTCTTTCATTAGAAGATTCTATTCTTTAATAATATGGACAGAGGTAGCTTAATGGCACCTGAATACATTTTCAGTCTCCAAAAAACATTTTAGGAAGGACCACTCTTGAGAAAGTCTCTCGTAGCAGCCAATTCTATCTATTGCACATGAATTTCTTATAGCCTGAACAGTGCCCTTTTCTGACCTCAGCCTGCTGGACTTTCCCCTGAATTTGAATGTTTATTGAAGGTATCCTATTTCTCTCTGGACTCTGTCCCTCTTCTGTGCACTTACATGTTTGATACGGAATATTCTCACCTTGCCATAGCTATTCCAACAACACAGCCTCCAACTATGGACCAAAATCCAATCCAGCCAGCATCTACCTGTTAACAAAGCAGCAGACATATTTAATGGAAAACTTTCATTTAGAAGAAATAAAAAATTCTCAATAATCAATATGTAATAGCTAAAAGGCAAGAGATCTAGGAAATCCTATTTAAGAAAATGGATAGAATGAAAGGATTCATGTGTAACTAATTAATACAAACCTACAATTATGGCCTTGATTAACTTTTTATTGGAATACTTAAATCAAAGTAATCAATGTCACTAAACAAATATTTTCAGGCATGTGCTACACTGCACTAGGCCTCCTAGGACAGTGGGGACAGAAGATAGTCACTGACATCAAAAAGTTTAAATATAACCAACATAAATGAAACTACTAGGAACTAATTTGGGAGCTAAAATGCCTGGAAATATATAAAAACGTACTGATATGGCCAGACCCTTTTCAGAACTCTAATATGTCACACTCCCTCATCACTCATCTATCCCTAACTCTTACTGTCACTTGCCTTCTTTCACAACTTAATTCTAAGTTTCAGTTTTCTTCATTAGTAGAATGGAGAAAATGAAGATGGTTTGAGGATTAAATAAGTTAGTAAGTATAAAGTGTTCAATATATGTCAGTTGCTGTTATCATTGAAATTCCATGTGTTCCTAACAATATTGGTGCATTTTTTCTTCTTTCTCTTTCCCACTACCACACTTGTTTATTATTACTTTATATCTTACTTCCAGACTCTTGTAATAGCTTCTGAAATGGTCTTCACAATCTATTTTGGCCTCTATGGCCAAAAGATGTATTCTCATCATTCCACTTCCCTGCTCAGAAACAGTAGCTGGCCTTCCTTGTGGCTACAGAGTAAAGTCCTAATTTGACCTGGAACTTGAGATAGACCAAACTAACTTCTACTTTTTATTACTTTTTGAGTCATATTTTTCATTACTCTTGTGACAGGGATTATTAATTGCCCACTGAATGTTGTTTTCTACCTGAGTACTTAGCTAGATTATGTGCTGCTGCAATTAAGTTCTCACTACTGGATGTGAGCAAAAGTGAGGTGTGCCATCTCCAGGTTAGACTGTAGAAGACAGTTGTGTGTTTTCCCTTTCCACCACCTGGAGTCTGGATGTGGTCATCCAGCTGTTCCTATGCCCGGAAAGACAAGGTCCAAGGGACAGAATAGCTGCAATGTGGAAGCAGCCCAGATCTCTCAGTCAGCAGAGGAAAACAGTCCTCCAAACTGTGACCAACTGTCCTGGACTATGCATACTATCCTATACTTTTATGTGAAAGAGAAATAAACTACTGAAGCGTCAAAATTGAGGGAGTCTACTTCTTTCAGCAGCTTAGCCTATTCTAAGTAATACAATGACTGCATGCAAGCCTTTTGTTCTACCTGTATTTGCCACCGGAATCAAATATACATATATAAATGTCTTTGGAGAAAGATAACATCCTGAGGCCTATATCATCTCTAGTTTTTCATAGCACTGGCAACTGGGGCAAGAGAACTCTGTTCTCCAGGAATACCTCCCTTGTTACAGGGCATTCAGTGCCCAATGTCCAAAGCTTATCTGTAATGCAGTGGAGCCCCACAGACATTCCCATCTGTCCCCTTGGGTGAGTGGGGTACTTGGCAGGCTAAGGATAACTGTGTATCTAGCTGTACTGATAATGGTCCTTTTAGGCCAGTTTGTGATTTTGTTTCCTTTGTTCACAGTATTTACTTTAGCTAATAACATTCTACTCAATAATTAAAAATTTTCTTTGCTTTAATTTTCTTGCTTTCATTTAATTTTAAATTTCACTTTAATACCTGGCATGATTCATGGTCTCTGCATGCCTTTAACTTTGTACAGAGAAAGATACTTAGAGGGTTTTCAATACAAACCATAGATACGCAAAATCAGCATCATTTATTTGTTTATTTATTTGGTACCAGGGATCGAACTCGGGTCCTTGAGCTTGCCAGGCAGGCAGTGGAACCACTGAGCTAAATCCCTGGCCCCAAATCAGCACCATTTAAATAGTTGCTGTGCTCTTCCTATTACAGCTGGGCACATTTGGAAGACCTGCCATCCAGAAAAGTAGGTCAGAAAATGAAAGGAAGGTTTTCTTCTTATGGTAAAGCTACTGCTATGGTCTAAAGGTTGACGTCCTTCCAGAATTCATGTGTTGGGACTCATCCTCATATTTTTAAGGGGAAGGCTTACAGGGGTGAGTCAATCCTGAGACCTCTGTCCTCATGAATGGAATGAGTGACCTTATAACAGAGGCCACAGCAAGAAGGGGCAATCTTGACACACAGAGTGAGCCTATACCAGGCACCATGTCTGCTGGGCCTTGATTTTGGACTTCTTGGGCTTCAGAACTGCAAGAAATAAACTTCTATTACTATCAATTACAAGGCCTGATGTATTTTGTTAGAGCAGCCCGCATGAACTAAAACAAGTATACTAGGTAACTTGGATTAGTGTTCTGATTGACAACCAGAAAATCTGTGAGGAAATCTGAAGTCAACAGACAGCCAACAAGGTAATCCAGAATTACAGAGACATGGTCCAGGATGGGAAGGAACCCAGAGAGGTATGCCTCATACTTGGAGACAGTGTTCCTTTAGGGGTGCCTGCTGATTTGAGAAAATGTGGTTAAGGACTAAGAAATTATTGACAGCCTCATTCACCTTGCAAAGAAAAAAACTATGCGTTTGGCATCTGCTGCTGGGTGAGGGAGCCTTGTAAAAACCCCAGACTTGGGCATTCTGAAGGGCTATACCTTCACATAGGAGGCACTGGAAACTGAACAGTATTCTGCCCTTTCAGCATTCAATTAATTTCAGCATTAAAGCCCCACTTTAAACAATGTCAATCCCTGAAACTAAATAAGGTGATCTCTAGCTTCTTACCAGAACAAACAAATTCTTTCTGGAGGAAAATGACATCATCTTAAAGCTTAAATTACTTCTATAACTTCTCAGATCTCAGTAAAAAAGTTGCTGAATACATAAAAAGATAAGAAAAGATGATTGAGGGCCAGGGATTTAGCTCAGAGGCACCACGCCTGACTTGCAAGTGCAAGGTCCTGAATTCAATCCCCAGAAGGAAAAAAAAAAAAAAAGAAAAGATGATTGAACACCAAAAACATAAGGGGATCCAGATTACGTAATTGTGAGATACAAACTTTTAAAAAATTATTTTTAATAGATCAAAAAAAAAGAAAGCATTTCTACAGAAACTTATAAACAATAAATAGAACCAAATCAAAGTTTTATAACAAAAATACAAGAATTAAAACTAATAGATGAATTTAATAATATATTAGAGCTGAAAACGGAAATAGTGAGTTGGAAAAAACACTAGATAATAAACCCAGTCCAAAGCAGAGAAAGGTTATAATTATAGAAAGTTAAGAAAAGAGTAAGAGATGTAGGGAACAAGGATAAATGTATAACATATATACTTAAGAGTCCCCAAAAGATAAATTAGAGAAAATGGAGCATAAGTTTTGAAGAGACATTAGCTAAGAATTTTCAGAAAGAGAGATATCAAGCCCTGGATACAAGGAGACCTACAAACTTTAAGTATAATACATTCAGATAGAAACTACCACTGTATCAATGTCATAGTAAAAACTGTGGAACCAATGATAAACAAAATCTTAGAAAGCAGGCAGCTTTCAATTTGAGAGCTGGCTTTTTAGTTGAAACTAAGTATGAAAATAGAATATTTTCAAACAATCAATAGTAAATAACTGTCAACCAAGAATTTGTTCCCCAACAACAAAATCTTCAAAATTAAAGGTAAAATGAAGACACTTTCAGACCAAATCAAAAGGTAAAAAAGCTGGGTGTGGTGGTGCATGCCTATAATCCCAAATACTCAGGAGGCAGAGGCAGGAAGATCATAAGTTGGAGGCCAGCCTGGGCAATTTACTGAGACCCTATCTCAGAAGGAGGGTGGTGGTGTTGGGGATGTAGCTCAGTAAAAAAGTATTCCTGGGTTCAATCTGTGAATTGTTTCCCCAGAAACCAACCAAACAAAAACCCAGGCAAGAGAATGCAACACAGCAAAGGAGCAGAAAAACACCGCCCCGCCGCACACCACGGTTAACTGTTGCTCTCTTGACAGAAAAAAAATGATCATGCGAAGGATGAAGATAAAATAAGTACATACGAGGGTGAGTCAAACTGAATATTGGCTATATAAACAATAAAATAATGTCTTCTGTAGTTAAAATATGTGATAATAATAGCACAAAAGATGGAGAAAGTTATGCAAAATTAGAAGGCTCATAAGGACCTTTGACTGTCCTGGAAAACGTAAAAGTTCTAATTTATAAATGATACTGATAAATCAAGAATAAATTCCAGAGAAATAGGGCAAACAATTCGTTTCACAATAGCATCCAAAAAACTGAAATACCTAGGAATCAACCTAACAAAAGAAATCAAAGACCTCTTCTCTGAAAACTATGGCACTTTGAAAAGTGAGATTGAAGATGATATCGGAAAATGGAAAGACATCCCTTGCTCCTGGGTAGGAAGGATCAACATAGTGAAAATGGCCATACTTCCAAAACTGCTGTATAGATTCAATGCAATCCCAATTGTAATCCCACCAGCATACTTCACCAACCTTGAGAAAACAATCCAAAAATTCATTTGGAACAAAAAGAGACCCAGAATAGCAAAAACAATTCTAGGTAACAGAGACATGGCAGGGGGTATTACAACCCCCACCTTGAAAGTATACTACAAGGTACTGTGATAAAAACAGTATGGTACTGGTAAAGAAACAGACCGGAGGACCAGTGGAACAGATTAGAAGATGCAGAAACAACTCCAGACACAGCTACCTCATCTTCGATAAAGGAGCCAAACACCCTCACTGAAGGAAAGATAGCCTCTTTAATAAATGGTGCTGGAAAAATTTGGTTTCAACTTGCCAAAGACTAAAACTAGACCTATATCTCTCACCATGCACTAAACTAAAATCAAAATGGATTAAAGATCTAAATATTAAAACAGAAATGCTG